GACAGCACAACGATTTCGAGGGATCGATAAGTTTGTACGCTCGTACCTGAATCTCTCTCTCTCACTCTCACTAGTCTCTCCCTCTCTCTCTCCCTCTCTCTCTCCCTCTCTCTCTCCACCGACCCTCCTCTCTCTTCCCGCTTCAGGAAGCAGAGCGACGTCTCGTCACTAGCCAGACGTTTAACAGTCACTTGTCTTCGCACTAAATCCCGCCGCGCACGAGCGCAAGGAAGTTGAATCCGCGCCATTCCTTGTCTGCCACTCGGGCGACAACGGATAAGCAACGGGTAGATAGACTAATAGAAGGAGTGCATAGTCGATGGCGGCAGTGTAACAAGCTGACGATCTATGACAAATACAAGTCGATCAAAGTGCGCAGACTAATAGTTGCGTGCCCTGCCGAGTCGTGACCGCGAACGGGCTTTTCGTCAGCCTCTCATCGCTTGTCTTCGTCGATTGTAGCTGTGGGCCGTCACTGGCTTGTGGCTTCGTGTCCATCGAGTCGTGGCCGCGAGCGGGCCTTTCTCAGCCTTCCATCGTTTGTCTTCGTCGATTATGGCTGCGGACCGTCGCTGGCTTGTGGCTTCGTCGTGTCTCCATCAAGTCGTGGCCGCGAACGGGCCGTTGTCAGTCTCTCACCGTAGGTCTTCGTCGATTCAAGCTGCGGGCCGTCGCTGGCTCGTGGTTCCGTGTCTCTATCGAGTCGTGGCCGCAATCGGGCCTTCGTCAGCCTCTCATCGCTTTTCTTCGTCGATTCTAGCTGCGGGCCGTCGCTGGCTCGTGGTTCCGTGTCTCTATCGAATCGTGGCCGCGATCGGGCCTTCGTTAGCCTCTCATCGCTTCTCTTCGTCGATTATAGCTGCGGGCCGTCGCTGGCTCGTGGTTCCGTGTCTCTATCGAGTCGTAGCCGTGATCGGGCCTTCGTTAGCCTCTCATCGCTTCTCTTCGTCGATTATAGCTGCGGGCCGTCGCTGGCTCGTGGTTCCGTGTCTCTATCGAGTCGTGGCCGCGATCGGGCCTTCGTCAGCCTCTCATCGCCTCTCTTCTTCGATTATAGCTGCGGGCCGTCGCTGGCTCGTGGTTCCGTGTCTCTATCGAGTCGTGGCCGCGATCGGGACTTCGTTAGCCTCTCATCGCTTTTCTTCTTCGATTATAGCTGCGGGCCGCCGCTGGCTCGTGGTTCCGTGTCTCTATCGAGTCGTGGCCGCAAGCGGGACTTCGTTAGCCTCTCATCGCTTTTCTTCTTCGATTATAGCTGCGGGCCGCCGCTGGCTCGTGGTTTCGTGTCTCTATCGAGTCGTGGCCGCGATCGGGCCTTCGTCAGCCTCTCATCGCTTTTCTTCTTCGATTATAGCTGCGGGCCGTCGCTGGCTCGTGGTTCCGTGTCTCTATCGAGTCGTGGCCGCGATCGGG